AAAAAAAAAAAAAAAAAAAAAAAAAAAAAAAAAAAAAAAAAAAAAAAAAAAAAAAAAAAAAAAACATGCTACGCCAATCAAAACGTTTCAAAACAGGAAATAAACTGATACATATTTATTTTCATAAAATATATTCTCAGAACATTAAAAAAAATAATAATAACAACAGCTAGAAGAACTTAACCCGCAACAGACATTTTAAGAAGATTTTAAATAGAATAATTCGTTACATAGAGTGGGATTGTCTAGGGGATCTAGTAGAACAAAACTTGAAAATCATCATTAATAAGATTGATAAAAATTAAAATTCGAAATATTATAGAATAATGTTTTAAATATAAGGAATTAGTGAGATTTACCTAGTAATAAGACCAGTTCCAAGCCATGGGTGCAAAAAGTTATATGCCGCAGCTTTATCAATATTAGTATTACTACTTAACACAACCTAAGGGAGAAAAACCTCTTATGATTCATTCAAACGATATATATATATATATATATATATATATGACATGTTCGCGAAACATAACTTATCTCATTCATATGAGTTGTTATTGTGCTTTGAATTATTATGTTCATATTAATTTATTAATTTGTCTGTATTAATCGCCCATATTTGTGTTTCTATTAATCGTACTATTTGTATTAATTAACAATTTATGTATTTCATTAAATGCATGACAACTAATTTATATTTTCAGCTATAATTGGCTTTGAAACTAAGAACAAATATTCTATTAAAAATAGTATGGGGCAAAAAATGTACACAGCAAAAGAAGGTAAATGATTCATCCATATTGTTTATATAATATTATGTTTTTGATGAAGCTATTGTGTTGTTTATTTTTCTGATTTGTATTTACATAATTCAAGCTTGGATAATTTGAAATATTGTATAATCTGAACTATAATTGATTCTCCTGTTCGAAAAAAATATTTCAATATTGAAATCAAGTTTGGTTTTTAGTAGCAGTTTGAAAAATCAATATTAAAGGCCAGCTGAGACATTAAAAGAATTTCAAAAGTATACATTTTATAACTGCTTTATAAAATAATAAAAATTAAGGGTTAAAGAACTTGAAATATGTTAAAGCTGTAATTTTTTTTATATACAGTCGAACCTTGCTAACTCGAACCTCGATTTCACGAATTTTTCGATATCTCGAAGGAAAAAAAATTCCCTTCAAATTTCCTATACACTCAATGTTAAGAAAACACTTGATTTCATGAATTTTTTTTCTTCTAATCCCTCGATAACTTGAATTTTTTTTCTAAGTGTAGATTTTTAATAGTGTAGTGCAGATTTTTTTTCTAAAATTAAACAAATATTCAAAAAAAATTTAAGATTGGCTGACAAGGCATAGAATGATGTGTCTTCCTCTACGATAATGAATGGTTTCAAGAAATCTGGATTCATTAAAGATCACGAAAGCAATCAAACGATCAATATCGTTAATTCTGCTGAAAATTATTTGGACAGATAGACCGGACTCATGAAGCTTGATGTCATGGAATTTCATGACTTTGTATACGTAGATGATGCAGTAACAATGTGTGGTTAGTGGGATGACAATGATATCATCGCTCAAACGAAAGCTTCTTGTGAATTATTAGAAGAAGAGGATGAGGAAATCGAAGATTTACCGCCCAATGTTACTAACAAACAAGCACTTTCTGCAGTGGACACTGTAAGGAGATTCATTGAGAGGCAGCCGAATATGTCAGAGGAGACATTTAAAGCTATAGTCCACGTAGAAAGTGTTATAGACAAGCTTTCTTACACATCTCTAAAGCAAACTATAATTGAATATTTTTTTAAATGAAAGTGTAAAAAATATTTTTAGAATAAATATGGAATAGTAAATAAGGTATGTAAAGAGCATTTTTCTTTATTCAACCATCAATAACATGCGATTTTCGATAATTTGAGTTTTCGATATCTCGAATTTTTTCTTCTCTCCCTTCAAGTTCGAGATATTGAGGTTTGACTGTATTAAGTATTTTACTAAACTAATCTCATCTAATAAAATAACCTAAATAAGTGATGTGTTAGTAATTAAACCACATTAAAATCACTAAAAGCCTCTTATTGATGTGTCCACAGTATCCGCAAAACCATGTGTCCACACTTGCCCTATAGAGTCATTAGTCTGTTTTAATGCATGATAGCAGATGCAAAATAAACAAAAAAGCATAATCTAATGTAAAAATAAGCATGTTTATGTAGCATAATAAATATATCTGATAACATAAATGCAATAGTATATTATCTGCTAGTAATAAATATTATAAGTAAAAATAACCTTAAATACCAAGGAAAAGGTAAATTAAAAAATTACCTTTCCACTCTGATAATATTGTTTTTTAATTTGCTGCTTAAAAGTCTAGTAATCTAGTGTGTTGTCATGTAACTATGCAGGAAAGTGTTATACAGTTTTGTCAATCTGCTAAAATTTATGCAAAAGAATTTTAATTTGTTATATTAACATTTACTTTATTATACACTAAAGAACCATTTATAGAAGACACAGGCTTGTATTAAAAAAAATAAAGTTAAATACCAACTATTCTCCTTCTATATCAACCATATGACCAAACAAAGATACTAATGTAGACTTTCCTACTCCAGAGGGCCTGATTTAAACTAATTTTTTGACCTGACGCAAAAATAAATACCCTTTTCTATGCGGAAAAATCTATTTCGTCAAATGCTTGTGTGAAGGCAAAATGGCTTAAATAATATATTAGAATCTATAGGAAAGGGTTTACTATATTTCATCTTACAGTATATATTGCTCACATTAAATATGTAAATAAATATTATGCAAATATTTATTAGATTGTTAATTTATAATGTTTCACAACAAATTTTTAAGAAAAATGTTTTGTCTGGATGGAAGATCGACTTTTAACTTGATAATTATCATATAAAAAGAGAATACAATTGAAACATTTATAAATGCTTGGCACAATAAATGTATAGGCATGGGTGCCACTCTTCAGTCCTGGGAACTGAAATCAGTCTTTAGAGAAAATCAGTAGATTAAGTTTCATACATTAATATCTCTTCCATTTGTTTTTAATATTAAAATTCGTTAAAAATGTAAAAAATATTTTCTGTGAAATAAAAGTTACATTTTAATGTAAACATTGTTAATTTTCATAATTATTGCAAAATGATTGAGTAATGATGCAGCTTAGTAATGAAAAAATTCTATTGAACTTCAACGCCAGCTTTCTTAAACAAAATTTGTACTATTGCTATATCTAAATTTTCTTGTTTTTATTTCTCCCGAACGTTTTGAAAGGCTGGCCAAAGTTAAATTAGGATTCTTCTTATTATTATTTTTTTAAATTTTTATCAAGATAGGACAAAAAATAAGTAATGGTGAAGGGAAAAATACCTAGAGATATGTATAGCTTCATGAAAAAATTAGTGGTTTATTATTTAGCTGTTAGTTATATCTTGTTTTCTATAAATAAAAAATAATAAAATAAAGAAGAAAAAATTAGATTATTTATTTAATATACGAGTCCTAATCATAGAAAGGTACATTTTGGAGTCAGTGAGCTATAAATTTCTTAAAATTCTCAGAAACAACTCTAGATTGTATTGGATAAAAAAAACAAATTCAGTCTTAAAATATTTTTAGAGTGGCACCCAAGTGTATAGGCTATAGTCCTTAATATTTAACATAATGCTGGCTCCTTACTCAAATGGGCGTTATTGATTCCTAAAGACACTCTGTCCCTTGTTTTTCTTGCTGTCAAAAAGGTGTGTATGAAAGAGAAGCTTCTATATAGACTTGCTCAAATGTGAAACCCTTGATTATAATATCTGTTATTGATTACAAGTACCAATAGTATTAATTATAAATAAATAATTTCAAGAAATATGTTTTTTTTTATCAAATAGTGTATATCTGATTTAATGTATCTTTCACTAAATTTTGGCATATTATAACAATTATAATGATTACATCAAAAATACTATCTGAAAGTATTTTTAGAAAATTAACGTAGAATATTGGCTTTCTAACTTGATTTTTATGTAAAATAAAACATTATTTTACGAGTGCAAAGTCATACTCATCTTTTCTTTTTATTGTACAGAAAAACTTCCTATAAGCCAAGAGCAAATAAGAAATGTGACTACAAAACTATTTTTGACTCATTCAACAGTATTAGATTTTAAACTTCTTGGTATAACAAAATTTGACCAATTATTTACAAAACGCAGTGATTAACTCAAAAAAATCTTAGAATAATATGAACAAAAAATTTTAAGAATGTGTTTTATCATTTGTAATTCCTTAATGAAAAAAAAATACCCATTGCAAAATTTGACTGTGAAATATCCTGTACAATGTGCATTGCATGAATTGATCATGATTCTGATTTATACAGATAACTGAGACACTACTTTAACTTTATTCTTTGATATTTTCTTTTATTGAATATCAATACGCTCTTTTTATTATTTAGATACCGATTGTTGCACAAGGATGTGTTGTGGGCCTAATCGGCCATTTGAAATGAAAATTAAGGACAATGCTGGCAATGAAATTATACATTTTCACAGAGAATTGCGATGTGATTCGTGTTTATGTCCATGTTGTCTTCAGGTATGTTTTACATAGCTTTATTCTGTACTCTTTGATGCAATAACCTTTAAAGAAAGGACAATTATATTTTCTGTCTATACTTTTCACTTTTCATTTATAATAATTTTATTTACAATCTAAGAAAAGAAATTTTTTTCTCTTTAGCGATTAGAAGTTATGTCACCTCCTGGTTCACTCGTAGGAACTGTGGAACAAGACTGGTCAATTTGTGTACCAAAATTTTCAGTTAAGGATGCATCTGGAACTACCGTTTTAAAGATTGAAGGTCCAGTGTGTACTTTCTCAATCTGTGGTGATGTTGAGTTTGAGGTACATTATGTTTCGAAATTATGATTACCACAAACTGTTTTGATGATTGAAAATTTTTCTGACAAATTTATATTAATAGAGTTAGTTATTAACCCTTTGATGCAGAATTTTTGTTAAACATATTTTTCATTTTCATAGTTTGTTTCATAATTTTGTATTAATTTTGGTCGAAATGAGTGAAAATAAAATATGTAGTATTTTAATTATCTATGGTTATGAAATACCAGAGTCTTTGTATGCGCTTAAGATAGTCTTCTAAACATGGCTCACTTCCAAATAATAATTTTTTAAGTTTGCAGTTATTTAGATCTAAGAGAAATAGTTATTCATTATTGAAATTATTTTAATTTACAAAATCAATTATTGATAAATTTTTGAGAATAAATGAAAAGAAAAATTTTCAAACAAATTTTTTTTGGATTTTATATTATAGAATTATAATTTTCTAACCATTAGTAGATATAGTAGAATTGTATCTCCTAACCATTTTTTTTTTAGTAACTTGACTGTTTTTTATAATTAGATACCAAAATATATTTTTGCTTGTAATTAGAGCATCTGAAAAAATTATATATATAAGGGACACTGGTGACCCTTATACGTATATTGAGCTTGGATGTATAAGGGACACTGGTGTCCCTTATACATTAAAGGGTTAAAATAACGATATTAATTTTCTATTCATAGCTTTAAATAATTAAAATATTGGTTTATTTCTCACTGTCTATAAATAGTCTGTCTAAGAGGTTGATTTAAAGCAAATTTTTTAAAAAACAATTCATAAAATTATTTTTATTAATTTTTTTTTTTTTCGTTTTGATGTAGCTATTATGAACGATTTTACTAGCAAAATTACATGAAAACTGTAAGAAATATTGTATTTAAAGCCAGCAAATTAAAAAAAAGACATATATATTTAGATTTATTTAATTAAATCATATTATTTAATACAACAATTCAATTTTTTAATTAAATTTTATATTTTTTAAAATTGATTTTTTTTTCAAAATTGGAATTATAAATTATGATAATTTAAATTCCTGAATAATATTTTGTGTCAGTAAAAATTAAGTCTGTGTTTATCTAATCATCTTCTATTCTGTGTCCAGGAAAATGTATGCCGTTAAAATTTTACTTGTGCATTTAATGCCTAACCTATATTGGAAGTGGAAATTATAGCATGAAATTTTACCATTTGACCACTATTTCTTCCAAATAGTTCAAAAGTAAATCTAATCTAAAAAGAAAAGGTCACGGTAGCTCAGGAGATAAAAGTGCTCACCTCCCATTGAGATGACCTTAGTTAGAATCCCAGCTATCGCTGATGGATAAAAATTCCGCACCCAACTCACCCCGACCACACTGCTGACATCAAATATCTTCAGTGGTAGACGGATCATCGGTTAGAGTCCTCTTGTTGTCAGGTTAACCTTGGAAGGTTTTTGTGGTTTTCCTCTCCATGTATCACAAATGTAAGTTAGTTTCGTCAAAAAGGTCTGCCATAAGTTTAATTTCTCCCAATACTTGATCCAGCAGTTCCCTTGTCTTCTGAATTAGGTTCAAAATTACAAGGCTATGGAGTTTATCATTAGTAGCCGTAAACTCAAAATTGGATCAGCTGTTAAACGATAGTTATAAAATAAAATTTGAAAAGGAGGGGAATTTATTTTTTGTTAAATTTATCACTAATAATTTTAGTATACCATGTTTTTTATGTTAAAAACTGCTTTTTTCATCTATACCAATTAATGTTATTCATTATAGGTTCTTTCGACTAATGGCGTTAAAGTTGGCAAAATCACAAAGCAGTGGTCTGGATTATTAAGGGAAGCCTTCACAGATGCTGATCATTTTGGTATAACATTTCCCAATGATCTGGATGTCAAAATGAAGGCTGTCCTTTTGGGTGCATTATTTCTGATTGTAAGTTTTATATTTTTGTCTCAAATCAATTTTGTAATTTCTTCAAATCTTTTTACTTTTTTTTAGAAAAAAAAAATTTTTTTTTCACAGTTCTTCTTTACACTTGTTTGTTTGCCACATTCTGCTACAATCTCAATAGTTTTTATGCTATTCAAATCAGTAACAAACTTTTGAAATTACCGGATATGTAACTTAACCACACTAATAAATCTAATATTGAAATGGTAGCTAAAAAATCTGTAAACAAATTTAAAAATATGATTTGTAAATTAAACTTGTTTTCTTTTAAAACTTTATTACATTTATAATTACAGGATTACATGTTTTTTGAAAAAACTGGAAATAAAGAACAAGATAGGCCTGGAATGCTTTAAAAAGGTCCACTTCTTTATCTTCATTGCTTCAAAGAAAGGATGCTAATTTTTTTTTAGTATTTTCTTACATGGAAATGTTTCTTTTTTTATTTTAGAGATACGTTTTATTTGTATTTTTCCACTTCTGTATGTAATGATAAAATATTAAATATGATGATAATGAGATTTGCATAAATACGTACTTTTACAATTCTATATGTATCTAATTAAAAAATAGGCATAATTTTTGATTATTTTAAAATGTCCTTGTAAGATTTCATGTTATTTACATGCTTTTACAATTTACGCTTACTGTGGATAATTTAGTAATTGTAATTTGTAAGCCTTAACCTTATTGGTAAACAATATCTTGATAAAAATTATTGCTTCATTGTTCATGGTAGTATACGTAGAAGTTGGTTTATTAATTTTGTAATTAGTTTCATTGCACTATTTTCATATTTTCATCTTTTTTTCATTGCATTTAAGTAAGAGATCAGTTTGAGATTGTTTCAAAAAATTACTTGTATCACATATTGCCTTCCTACTGATCAAAACTGATGATGTTTACAAAATATATTTGAGCTTCTAAAAACTTAGTAAAATGTTAAAGTGAAGCATTGATAATTTTTGTAAAAATGTAAATATAAATTATAATTAACAATAATTACATGTTAACAATAATTACATGTTATAGATAAACTTATATAATCATAGTAATTCTTGAAATTTAGAGTAATTTCTTTTGAATAATTCAAAATAATCAAAAATACACTGATTTTTTTTCTGGTTAAATTTTGCATTTAACTTTCATTTATCTATATGATAATGTTAAAATGTGTTAGTGCATTTATTTTATAAAATAGTCTTATCATGATTTCCTTAGTATTTTATTTACATGACGCAAGCTAATTGAAAAATGTAGGTCTTTGCCGCTGTTGCTATCATTTTGTAATGTGCCAGTGTATTTCAAAAAGTCTTTAGTATTTTCTATTCACACCAATTATTTGCAGTTTTATTTCAAACAGCCCATATTTATTTTGATAGTGAAAGGAGCCTTGACTTAATATGATAATGTTGAAGGACATATTTTGTAATTCATTTAAAAATATCTCGGCTCATTAAAATTTACCTAATATTAATCAGGCTAATTGAACAATCAATGTGTTATTTATTTTATTAAAACTTAAAAGTATCTGAGCTCATTAAATAACTCTAAAATGTGTTAAACTTATTGGAAAAATAATAGACTTTTCTTACTTATCCTAAGACATTACGAAGTAACAACAATGATTTGCAAAGAGCCAAATTTCCAATTAGATTGCATCATGCATACCTTCTTCTGTTATCTAAGATAACATTCTAGGAGAATTCACTTCATACTGTGTTTAATTATCAAATTATTTTACAACATTTTGGTGACTGTGATTTAGATGTAGTAAAACGATAAACTTATATTGTAATATTTATCGTTATCAGAAAAAATGGTAATTAAGCTTAATATTCTTCTGTTAAGCAATTCAGTATTAAATTATATTAAGAAATATATATAATTTTAAAAAAATTTTTGCATTTTAATCTTTTCTAAGTGAGGGTAAAAGCTCTGGGAAATCAGAAATTATATTGGTTTTTGTTTATTCTATTGTTGTATTATTCTGTTATTCCTTTTTAGTAATTTGTATCCATACTTACTAATTTATGAATACACTTTAAAAGAATCAACCTATATATCGATTTTTCTGTTTTATAATTTTTTTAATAAATGCAGCTTACTATTTATTTTATATATTTGATTTGAATTTTTAGATTGTATTAATCACAAATGACTTGCTAGGTTTAACTTCTTATTTAAAAGTAAATAATAATCTAAATGTATATGTACTCTAGTTACCGTCCTGAAATTGCTAAATACTCATTCAAAATGGTATCTCTAGTGCAACAGTGCATATTTTATTGCAGTAACTAAATTATTTTGCATAAAGGTTTTTTACATTCTTAAGCAGTTAGTCTAGCTTTTTCATGTTTGTAAAGTTTGAAATTGTAATTAAAATAAATAAAACTTATACCTTCTTAAAGTTAGTTTCTCCTCATAGTGTTACTCCCTTTCACTTAGTTTTAGAAGCAATCACACTGCTCATATTTCAATAGTTTTGTAAAGTTTTACTAGAATCCTTTAGTGTTCGTAATTGTAAATATCAATGAGAATATTTGATTATGCTTGGTAAATGTCGCGAAAGTATCATAATAATTATTGTTAAAATAATTTTTAATTGAAAAAAAAAATTCTTTTATATTTTTTGTGTCAATTAGTTTTCACATCTGGAAGCTTTAACTTTTAGCTTAAATTATATTGTTTTTTAGCATATCTGCGAAATAGTTTTATAATACTTGAAAGTCATATTAATTATATAATGTGATTGCAAAAATAAAGCTCTTATTGAAAATTACTAAAAACATATACTTTATATTAGTTAAACATGTTTGCTTAGCATGTTCTCAGTGAAATATATGTTATTAATTAGTACTCTGATAAATATGAAAAATTTATCAAAATGTTGCTTGTTTTTACCCATTAAAACTTTTTTTGGCGGCTAATAACTATTTTCCTATTTTGACCATGCTATTGATTTGACAAAATCAAATCAAGAACATGGTTATTCTTTTAAAATTAAAATATTAATATTATATAATAAATACAGTTAAATATGCTAATAGGAAGTAGAACTATTTATCTACAAATAGCTTTTATTGTAAATTATTAATACATCTGGTAGTTATGAAAATGTTTTTAATAGGTTTTAAACAAATTTTTTCTCCAATGTAAATTTTTAATTAAATCTTTTGGAAAATTAAACTAAAATTCCTTTACACTTAACAAAGTCTTCTAGTCTTTAAGTCTAGTTTTAACCTTTTATATAATCCCTTTCAACTGAAATAAATTTTTGCTAAAAAGCTTTTTTGAAAATCAAACTGAAATAAATACTACTTTACTCTTCAAACAGTCTTATGTCACTCTTTTTGAAAGTCTGATTTTACTTTTTATGTAATCTGTAATCTTGTATTTATTATTCCACCAAAGTATTTTCTTCTAGTCAGCTGAATTTTAGTATTTTGCTTGTTTTTCAGAAACTTAACAGTTTTAGCAGAAGTGTTTATTTTATTTATTATCTTTTAAATTATTGTTCTCAAATTAAATTCAGAATAGGACTGGTTGATTTTTCGAAAACTTTGATTTGCTTCCTGTTTTTCTGAAGAGAAAATTTGCTTAGCTGAAAATTATTACCCAAGCATTGAGATAATTAAAGAGTTAGTTAATACCATATCATGTGGAGATTTATATTTTCTTTCAATTTTATGAAATTGTTTTCATAATTTCTGTTGCTCCGTGTAATAGTCATGTAGTTTTTAATTTTCTGTATGTTAATATATATATTTTTAGAATGTACATTAAGTTTTCTCTGTAAGTTAACTTTCATTTAACTTTAAACTTTATGATTGTATGAAAGATTTGTGATTTACATAGATTTATGATTCGAAGAAATTCCCTAAGTGTTTCATTTCTTTATATTCTCTAGTGCATGTTTTTTTTTCCATTATTAGTAAGCATTAAAAAACTTTTAGATAGCTTCGTAAAGTAGGCTAATTCTATTACTGTTTCTTTATGGTATGTTTCTTTTCCTTCCCCAAATCAGATATTTATTTAAAATCTCAAAATTAATTATGAAATTCAATAATTATTTTTAATTTTAGTACCAAATCACACACAATAATTAAGGCTATAATGCTCTTTTACTACACAATATAAATTAAGTTGAACATTTGTATAATTTTATATCGAAATACATTCCATAAATTAGTTGAGAGCTATTAATTTTTCATAGGAATAAAAGATTGACCTTATGAAATAGGTTAATTCAACTGTAGAGTATTACTTCTCCCTTTTAGCGAACCTTTAACCTTAAGTTTGCAGCTTTCAAGGTCTTTCAGCATTTTCATTTAACTTTTTTATTCCAAAAAATGTAATTTAAATGTCATGATTTGTGATTATCGAACCTTTAAGATAAAGTTTGCAGCTTTCAAGGTCTTTCAGCATTTTCATTAAAGTTTTTTTTTTTCTTCCAAAAAATGTAATTTAAATGTCATGATTAGCGAACCTTTAAGATTAAGTTTGCAGCTTTCAAGGTCTTTCAGCATTTTCATTAAACTTTTTTATTCCAAAAAATGTAATTTAAATGTCATGATTTGTGATTATCGAACCTTTAAGATTAAGTTTGCAGCTTTCAAGGTCTTTCAGCATTTTCACTAAAGTTTTTTTTCTTCCAAAAAATGTAATTTAAATGTCATGATTTGTGATTATCGAACCTTTAAGATTAAGTTTGCAGCTTTCAAAGTCTTTCAGCATTTTCACTTAAGTTTTTTTCCCCAAAAAAAATGCAATGTAAATGTCATGATTAGTGATAACACAAATTAATTCTAAATGTGAAGTACTTGGAGCAATATATTTATAAAGCAATATATTTTCTAAATGTCACATTTTTAATCAAACTGGTCCTTAGTATTGTTATGAGAAAGATATTTTGCTATTACAGAAACTCCCCTAGTGTATAGTATAATATGCGGAAATATTGTGTGGCCTAAATGGAAAGTATGGGTTTTATTTCCCTCTAAAAACATTCACTAAAAAAATGCTCTCTTGAATTTAAAAATGTGGCTTAGAATTATATTGCCTCAAACATTGCATAACTATCCTTGGACAACATACATTTGAAATTTCAGTTGTATTCTTGATGTAATAAATGTTGTTAATAAATGTATATCTTTGATATAATAAATGTTTACACAATTATTATATCAATTAAGATTAATGAAAGATAATATACTTTTATTCATCTACTACTATACTTAAAATATACTTGTGTGCCAAGTCATGTATATGATTTTCAGGCCATGTAAATGGTGCTCAAAAAAAAGTTATTTCCTTAATAAAATGTATGATGGAATTTTCATGTTCTAGGATTCAATCATGGTACGAGGCCTTACCTTAAATATGCTGATTAATTATTTCAGATGATACTATAAGTTACAAAATAAGACACAAATATGTTGTTAATCTCAATAAAAAAATCTACTTTTTTTTTTGGTGAATTTGGATTCTTGATCTTCCAAATATAGGAAATAGTCATTACCTGAGAAATAAGGTCCTAATTACATAGGCAGGAGTGCAGCCTGAAGTTTAGGCCCCACTCATGTTAATTTCTCATTTTGCATATTTTGCCATCTCTCAAAAATCTTATTTTTATTTTTAAACGCTTTTCAACTTAGTCTTTCCAAATTTTGGATTTTAAAATTGAAAATTACATGTATTAAAGTGGTGAAAGAATTGGTATACATAAAATTTTAAATTTTTCATGCTTAAATAAATTAACTAATCATAAAAGTAGTTTTTTTTTTCTTAGTGTTATTAAAATAAACAAGTGTTAAAATTTTGCTCAAAAAAATTTTGATTCACCTCATTGGTTCCGAAGATAGTGCGAAATATGCAAAAAGTGAAGTTAATATTAAAGGGTCAAACTTATGTTTGCTCTCTGCCAACTAAAACTTATATGCATTTCTTAACACGAGTAGGTTTTCATAAAATTGTACTTTTTGTGATTTTTAGTTTT